CTCCATGAAGAAATGAAGAGCCTGAAAAGATCCTTAGTGGCCAAAGATAAAATGGAGACACTTGCACAGTCCCTGGCCCAGACTTCAGAACTGGTGGCACAACACAAATAAATGTCATCACAAATAAAAGCTCTGAAGACAAAGCAAGCCAGTTTGATGAAGTTAGTGAAAAGGAAAAAGATCTGCCTCAAAGTCAAAACCAGGTAGTTACAATCGCTGAAGGAAAATCTTCAAAAGAAGGAAGATGAAAACACAACTTTGAATGAATCTGTGAAAAATCTCGAAGGCCGGATGTCTATTCTGGAAATGGAGCTACAAAATGTAAAAGAGAAAAATGAAAAATTATTGGACACCACTCAGCAAACGATCATGGCTTTAGAAGATTCCAACTCAAAGCTTCAAGTGTCCTTCCATGAGAAGGAGTGGAATTGCTCTGCAATGAAGAAGGAGCTCCGTACTCGTGAGCAGCTGCTCAAAGCAAACAACCAAAAAGCAAAGCAGCTCATCTGTGACATCATGTCCACCCTGCAGAAGTCCCTGGCCAAACGGCAGGAGAAAGACAGATACCCATTGCCACAGAAATACTCCCAAGATCAAGCCCTACCCATCCAGATTAAGCATTTGCAAGAGGAGGTAAAGCCAGGAGTAAGGCAGGTGTCACCACCATATCCCACAGTCACCAGATTCCAGCATTCCTGAATCCCTGAAGGAAGAAGATGGAGTGGCTGGGATTGACTCAGGAGCAGGGGCAAAGAGTAGACCCCAGAGGGCCCGGAATAGTGCCACCACCGCCGCTGGCCTGGGCACCATGACACCCTGGGGGGAGCCGCACCTGCTGCAGCCAGTCCCAACCACCATCACCACCACCCAGAGCAGCATGGCCAAATTCCAGCAGGTGCCCACTGAGCCCACGCCCTCCACCACAGGCCTGGGCCTCACAGAGCTGGCAAATGCCAGTGGGAACAACAAGATTCTTGCCATCAAAGTGCTGGTCACAGTGAAATGGTTCAATGTCAAGAACCGATACGGATTCATTACCAAAAATGATACTCTGGAAGACATCTTCGTGCACCAGGTGGCCATCAAGAACAACCCCTGGAAGTACCTGCGCAGCCTGGGAGATGGTGAGACCTTGGAGTTTGACATGGTGGAGGGCAAGAAGGGCGTGGAAGTGGCCAGTGTCACCAGCCCTGGGGGAGCCGCAGTCCAGGGCAGCAAGTATGTGCCCAAGTGCACCCGATCCCAGTGCTACCCACACCGGAGGGCTCCTAGGCCCCACTACCCACACAATTGCCTTGCCACTGACAGCGATAGCTCAGATGCAACATCTGATGGCCAGGCCCGTCCTCGCTGGCACCAAGGCAGGCGCCGAATGCTACCATGCTGCTACCAGCCTCCACCACAGGACTCCATCGCTCCTGTGCAGGGAGACATGCAGGGTGCCTAGGGCGTGGCTGAAGGCGACCATGGCCAGCCCATAGGAGAAAAAGTTGATCAGGGGTGCTTCAGCAGACCCGGTCACCTCGACCAATCTCAACAGGACAGCGAAGAGGCTGATTCCGAAGATCAAGAAGAGACCCAAGGCCAGCAGTGGTCTTTCCAGTGCTCCCCCATCTAGGCGCCCAAAACACTGCCTCACAGGATCAACCCACAAAATCCCATAGATGATCTCCAAACAGACTTCAAAGGCACTTACAGCTCTCTACCTCAAAGGAAAGAGAATCCAAGTGCTGTAGCACTAAGAAAACAGTTTCAACAGATCTGTCAAAAAGATGTGAACAAAAAGAGAAACTGAAGAACCAACATGGAAAAACTAGACCATTGCAAGAGGCTATGTACGTCTCAGAGACTAATGACATTTATAAACTGGTCATAATACTAACAAAATCCTAATAAACTTTCCAAAACTGGCTGGAGGAAGACTTTCTGTAGCACCTCCTATGGCCCAGTCACAGGACAAACAGCAAGCAATTTTCTGCATGAGGGTAGGTGGAATGGAACAGGAAGAGGAGCTGAAAGATAGCAGGATTTCTGGGCCTGAGTGCAGGCCAGGCTGACTTAGGCTGCAGCACCCACTGGTGAGAGCTGTGACTTTAGTGGGGGAGGGAAGTGTGAGCTGACTAGGTGGATCACAGGACCCACCATCACACAGGAGCTGGGGGCAGCCTGATAGGGGTCCTTGGAGACTCCCTGAATAGGCCACAACACCTGCTAGTGAGTGCAAGAGGGGTGTTCAGGGTGACTGGCCAGGCTAGGCTGCAGCACCTGCTGGTGAGTACAAAAGCTGGGGCTGGGAACAGGCCAGGTAGGGTTCTTTGGGGTTGCCCAGATCACATTGCAGCACCAGCCAGCATGTGCAAAAGTGGCACATGGGAGGGGGGATTGATTCTCATCCCAGAAACACAGTGGGCTCAAAATGAAGCCACCTAAGCAGCAATTCAAAGCCCCCAAACCCCCAGAAACTACAGGAGTGTAAAGAGGGAGATGGAAAGAAATCAGACAACAGATGCTGAGAACACAGAAGGAATAGGGGTCACACGCTTTACAACAGCTTTGCAAGTTCACCTCCACTCAGATACCGCAAGTCTCAGCCTCCCTCTGCCCTTATTGTGGTTCTACTCCCTTCTGGGTGGGCTATAGCGAGCAATGCCATGACTGCTGCTCCCTAGTTTGAACTCCATACTCCTTCACAGGGCAGCAGCTCCTCACTGGCACTATCACAAGGCCAAGGATGACTAGGATGGATTTGGCCACCATGACTTTTGTTTGCCCTTCAGCCACACATGATGTCAGCAAACAGCTCCCCCTTCAGTTCTCACTCAAAAAGACTCATGCGATCTCAGCTTTGCTAGAAAGCCTCTCCCTAGAACATACTGTGATGGCTGCAGATAGATGCTGGTCTTTCACCTGCAGCTCAGGAAGCTCTGCTTCGGGGCTTGGGGTCCAGTTCTCCTTTGTCAGGAACCCTGTTCTCTGTGGTGATTGTCTCAGAATCCTGCCTCATGCATTTAAACTCTGGAGATTTAAATGAGAAAGCACTGTAGAAAGCATTTCCTCCTACTGCAGGAGCAATGATGCCTCTCCCCTCTCAGTGCCCAGAAGCTTCTCTGACCTGGCCATTAGTTGGGTGATTATTCTGGGCGGTAGTACCAGTGCTGCTGAATTCCAATAAGCTCTGGGGACTTGTCAGGTGCCTTTGGTGGCAGCCTGGGATGTATGAGCGCTTCTTACTTTCCAGTGGAACCCCACAGTCACAGGAAAAGTTCCACACAGGATCTCATCTTGTCACCAATGTCAACCCAGCCTTCCACGGCCACTATCTAAAACACGAGATTAAACATTTATTCAAGTCACACTTTGCCAAGGGTATCTACATCTCAACGAAGATCCAATAAGCACTGAGATGCACTAAACACGTATAGAAGTCTGGGGGGTGCGTCAGTAGGGTGTGCAGTGGTGTGAAGTAATTGAACTAGTTTCCTGCACAGAATGTGTACAATCATGAGAACACGAACAATGACTACAACAACAAAACAGAGCGCTTTCTTTGAGGGTCTGATTTGGTTCCTAAGAAGTAGACGTAGAGGTGGGGAAGAGAAGTATATCAAAAGGTCCCAGGAGAGGAAATAAAAGTGACAGGGAGGGAGTGAGAAAGAGGAAGACAGAGAGAATTTGAGAACACAGGCATTATTGGCTTTCACTCTTAGCTCCCATGGATACAGCCCAGAAGAAGCAGTGTGGGCCCCTCTGGGAAGGGCTCAGAGCTGGCAGGCTTCCTGCTGAAAGCTGAAAGCTGTTGAGAGCTCTGCTGCCCGAGCAGGGATTGGTGCCCATAGCTCAGGGCATTAACATTCCTGACCGCAGGGTGTGGGAGAGAAAAGAGCTTTCAAGTGCATTCACTGTTCTCCACCCCAGCCCTCTCCAGAGGTCCCATTTCTTTATCCCCACAGCATCAGAATCTCCAGTTTACTAAAGAAAGGCAAGTTCATTCATCCACAGTGAGCCTGACACAGCAAAAGAAACAGGTGCTTTTCTCACTGTGAGTGCCCGGGAACCAAAGGTAAGTGCTATTCTCTTGTTCTTTGGCAGAAAGTTCAGTATGAGTGTTAGATTCCATAACCTATGTCTTTCCTTATTATGTCCTGACCTTATCCTCTCTTTTAATGCTGAACTCTTTCCTGTGTTATGACACCCCAAAACTTCATGGAGAACAATTGGTTTGTATCCCTGCTTCCAAAATGTTCGGTCCGATGAGCACCGGGGAAGCCACTTGCTGAACAGATGCTCATCTTGGACTTGCAGGGCGTAAGCGCCACGTCTGGAAGCTGTTCTATTTCAGAGTCAGCAGACCTCTCTCCTCCCACTCTGGGTGATATCAGCTGTACCAATTTGGAAGGACTTACCAGACTTCAACGTCACAACTCTTAAAAAAAACTCCTTGAGAGTAGAAACTGCATCTTATTCACCCCTCAACTCCCACACAACAGCTAGCGCATGGTAGGACTGCAGGCTTGTGAGAGTGAATGAAATGAAAGGCAACCAGAAGTCTTTGCCCTAAGTCGCCAACTCTCCAAACATATGTGCAGGGATCCTTTAGGAAACCACAGAATGGACTTAGCTCATTGAGTGAATAAGACACTTCACTCAATGATCTATTTTTCCCAAAGAGGTGTTCATACATTTTTTTCACTTGGGCAGTGCAGAAATCTGATTGGGGACTGCGTAAGGAACCTGTTTCCTATCACTACTTCACTGTCGAGCAGGTTGAAGCTCAGAAGAGGAACTTTGCCCTTCCTCCTTCCGATCACTTTGGAAGTTCATCTCTCTAAAGGGCAGTTTCTCAACAGTATGATTTCATCTGATTCTACAGTTGTGTTTTCAAAAATTCCCCGTTTCTGATGTGGGTCTTGGTCTGAAAGCCAGGGGTGACCATCCTGCTCTTGCTTCATCACCTTACTTGTGTGGCACCTGGAGGAATCTTACTTTCTGGTCTCAAGACCATGAAGAGAGTGGAGAGACACTTGGTCAAAGGACCGCTGTACAAACATTTTGATTTGGAGAGGAAGACTGCCAAGCAGGCTGAAGCCATCCTGGGCCAGAGACTGCAAAGACTCGAGGAGATCTGCTTGTACCACGTGAAGCTGCTGACCAGGGAGCAGCGACAGCTCCAGAGAGAACTACAGAGGTTGCAGCAAGGTAAGGCTTTCAGCACTGGGGTAGCAGCTACAGACTGCAGGAGCAGCGTAAGGTGGAGAGCCCCTTGCTTATTTTCATCTCAGACCTTTCCAGAGCCTGGGAGGGCAGGAATGCAAGGCCTGCTGGTCGCAATCGGGGTGCTGAGCTTTCCAACATGTAGGCTTGCAAGCCTTCCACTCATATGCCTTTTTGCACCATCACTTCTCAAATTTTCAGCCACTGTTGTCTTTTAAATTAGCTCACTCTTTCTTAAATCATTTGTTTTCTCTTCCTCTTTGTATTTTTTCATACCTCTTTCCTTTTGCCGTGTCTGATCTGGTTGCATCCCTTTCAGACCTCTATTCTTTCCCTTTTGTCTCCAACAACTGGTTATTCAACAACTGTACAAGTCTTGTTCCTAGCCCATTGTTTGAAAGGAAACTTTCAAAACAAAAGGAAAAAAAGTCTCTGAGATTAGTGCCTCAGTTTCCTTAAATGTAAAATGGAAATGATATTTCATGATACTGTTTGAGGACTAACACACAGCAAGTACTCTATAAGTATTTAATTTATCAATAAAGAATCAACCTCTTCCATTGTTTTTGAAAATTAGCACTGTTAATGCAGTTCATTGAAACTAGTTTTCCTCTGTCATTAAAGTGATTAACTGTTACTATTACTTCAATAAAACATAGATATCCCTTCTTATTCAAAGGGCCCCCATCCTGGGAAGTCAGAAAGTGAAAGAAAATCTAAGAGCCATGATCAAAAATAAAATCTTTCAGGTCTACACATCTAGTACATAGACACAAAAGCAAGAGACATGTGCAATTACCTAGCCTGGAAATTTTTTCAAATCCCTAAACTTTTCTAATGATATCTGGTTATTTGTGGATACTGCAGCAAAGTTGACAGAGTACTAACTCCAGTTGCAAGATCCTGTCTGCCTGCTTAGAATGAAAGTTCACATTCTAGAAAATGATCTTAGAAAAAACCATTGGACTGAGCTCCACTTTCATTTTCAAGAACCACACTAGAGATCTGACTCCAACTCTTAAACAGGAGCATGCATGAAAGCCCAGACCCTGATGGGCTGGGAGCCCGCCTCTATTCCAGGTGGTTGGAAAGAGCTTGGCTCAGAAAACAGAAGACTGATTTCAAGGTCTCTGTCTGTGTATTTCTCAAATTCCTTGAGCGTAAAATGAGGGAGAAGGGTAAGAAACAGTATTATGGAGTCTTGATATTATGAGGCGCTGTGTCCAGTAATAATTTTATAATTAACACAATCATTACAGAAATCCAGTTATATGACACTTAGTGTATTATTTAACATGCAGATTGCCAATCTTCATCTTAATCATTTGGATCAGAAGTTTAAAAATGAGACTCAAAGATCTATATTTTCGACTGAGATGGCACCAAGGCACATCATGCCGGGATGGCTGTTTTGCAGCCCAAACATAAATCGCTGGTACAACTCCTCACGAGTCTGGAGTGTAGATGTGAAACAAAACCCATGGTCTCTGCCCTCCAGGTGCTCCTGTTTAAACAGGAGCATAACGCTATGGAGAAACACCACAAGAGAAGGTGCTAGTTGCTAAGTCAGCTATTTTCAAAGGAGAATGGGAGTGATGGAAGGCTTCTCTGTCAAGGGCCTTGGGTAAAATCTCCCAGCAGTGTGGGAACATCATCTAAGGGGAAAAGGAGAAAGGATGGGGCCACCCCTAGCAGAAGGAACAGTTTGTTGCAAAGAAGCATGAATTAGCAAGGCTCGCTGCCAACAGCCTGATAGGTGTAGGAGAGTGCAGGAAGCATGATGGGTAAAGAAGATAGTAAGTAGCCCATCTTCAGAAACAAGGCAGGAGAGGCAGCATCTTCCCAGTGAGCAGGCTTGAAGGGGGCGCAGTGCGATTGAAAACAAAAGCGGATAAAAGACTGAGAGACAAGATTAGATTTCAAGCAGGTGGCTGGAGAGAACTCTCTCAGCAAGCAGAAGGGAAGAGCACTCCTCAGGTTTGCCAGGAAGCTTTTATTCTTGGGAAAAACATTGTCAGTATTAATGCTCATGTGTCTTCAGGGCCACCAGGAGGTTGCTAAGGAACATGAGGGAGAAGATAGGGAGGAGGCACCACCAGGAGTGTAGACTCCTACAGCTTGCTCTCTGGAGAACGCCCCCCCCCCCTTTGGCCTGACTGTGATGACATGCCAGCTTAATTACACGGCCTGGTGCATTTGGCTTTGCTAACCATTGTCTTTGTCATGCTGCATCCCCCAGAAGCTTCCGTTCCAAGACTTCCAGTTTTCATCTTTCTGGTTCCAAGCCACATAAATCTTTTTTTTTTTCCAATGGCCTTCAGCACCCAGATGATTTCAAATACCCCTCTGGGCTTTGGCAGTAAGGAGGGTATACATTCAAAGATTAGAAAGCTCACTCTGAGGCAAGGCTGATGGTAAGACAGAGAGCAAGCTAAGCACAGCTGAGCGAATTCCAACTTTCAGGTCATGGTGAACCAGGCTTCCCATTGGAGAACATGCAAAGAACCAGCATCACACGGTATCTAGAAAAATGAATTGTCAGAACTTTATGACTAATTATATATGCAACAGGGAAAAAAAGTGAAGCACCCAAAGTCTTCAAAACAGTTTATGGAAAATGCATATTATGAAAGAGATATGTATGGAGGGTTTTTTGCTTGTTTGGTTTTTTGTTTGTTTTTGCACACAGATCAGCTTATCTTGTAATTCCATTTTCCCCCATGAATCTTCTGAAGCATCCTTTATAGGTGTATGACCTGGCACGGAGTCAGCCCTCAAATACACTTGGTAATTGCATAACTGGGTGTAGGGACTGGGATTCACAGGGGGAATACCAGGTACAGACAGGTGTCAGAGAGGAGACAAGGTTCTTTCTAAGCTTGCTGCTCCTCCAGATCTAAGAGCAGGAGAATCAGCACTGACTCCCTTAGCATGTTAGGATGGGTAAAGCTTTCACAGGAAAAACAAAAACAAAAGCAAACCACACCCTCACCCAAGAAGACAAAGAAGAGAGGCCACAGATGACTCTCTGTCACCCTACATCCCAAAGAATTCTAGGTCCTTTATCTGGTCATGTTCTGTCTGCCTGGTCTGGCCTTCTTTCTGCAGTGTAGATTTAAGGAACTCAATCCCATTAGAGCAAAGATTACAGCCTCCAAGAAACGAACTCATGGGCTGCTCTGAAAACAAACTGGGTCCTCTACAGAAGCTATGACTACGCGATGACGAAACATGAACTCAGCGACTGGCGCGGCTGGCAGTTGCGACCTCATGCCACAGGGGGTGAGGAGGTCGCGTAGCTGTGGTGAATGAAACAATATGCTCACGCCCAGGTCATGCTGCTTCGCAAGACCCTGTCCTTGCCAAGCAAAACATTCAGACAAAACTTCCCTGGGCATAACCAGCTTACGCATCTAACTTCCATGTTGCTAAATCCACTTGAACATGTTCTAGGTACACATTGGGGAAACAGCGTTATTTCACTGCCCCTGTCACACCAGATCTACCATATATGCAATGCGGACCAAGGCCTTTCGAACCTCGAGTCTCTGAAAGCCCAGTTTCCTGCACTCCTTTCCTCTTCCTGTGGTAATTTTCTAGGGCTCTGCAATAAAGGGCCAAATGCTGGGTGCATGAAATAACCAAACTTCATTGTCTCTCAGTTCTGGAGTGCAGAGGTTCAAGATCAAGTGCAGAGGACAGGGTTGGTTCCTTCTGAGGGCTGAGCCAGCACCTGCTGAGATCTCTCTTCCTGATCTCCTCGGGTCTCTTCCCAGTTTAGTGTGAGTGTGTATGTGTGTGCGTGTGTTCAAATATCCTTTTCTTAAAAGGACACCAGTCATATTGGCTTAGGGCCCATCTTACTGGCCTCATTTTAGCCCCGATTTCTGTAAAGACTCTGCAAATCAGGTCACAGTTGGAGATACTGCAGCTTAGGACTACAATATACGGAATCTGGGAGGACACAGTTCAACTCTGAGCACTTACTAATTCATCAAAAGCAGATATTATCAAGAAAAAGCTCTCCTCTTATTTTGGAAATGGAATTCAGAAGAGACCAGATGCCCTCAAGCTCGCCTCCCAGGCAGGACAGAAGTCCAGCATCCCACGGGCTGCTCAGACCAGGTAAGGAAACAGGTTATTCCCCGAATGACCTCCTTGGCTTGTTTTTCTCCCTCTGAGACAATGCAGAGCCTCTCCCCACGTCACCACTCCCCGTTTCTGCCAGGTCCCTTCCTCCCCTACTTTGCTGCCTCAGCTGATGGCACGTGGCCCGGGCTTGAAAGGTCATGGATGTGAGATGCCGCGCCAGATGACGTGCCCCTTTCTGCTTTCCCCTTCCTCTCTCTCAGAACCTTGGCAACCCACCCAACTCCAGAAACACACGCCGCCGAGTCCCAGAGGTCTCCTTCGCATCGCACTGGTCCTAAAGACTCCACAAAGACCAGAGAGCGCCGATCTCAAAATGACAGAGCTGACTCCCTCGGGGAAGAGACACCACAAGCCCCAGGGGAGGCGTGCATGCACCCACCCGAGGGTGGGGACCCCAGTGTGGGCACCTCTGCCCTGTGTCACGTCCAAGGTGTTTCCACCCACACCACAGAAGTGGACTCTGGTTCTAGCCCCGCTGGTGACAGCAGAATGGCATGTGTTAATGAGACAGGATCGGAGGGGGCCAATCTAAAGCCAGGCAGGAATGCTGGGAAGCAAATCCCCCCAGACCCCGTGAAACACGCCGACGGCTTCAAAGGCGAGTCCACAAAGCTGACTTTCTTAGAGTTGCTCACAAAGGTCAAAAACGCTCGGTACCTCCGGCACAGGGTGCCCCCGGAGTCTGAGAGGTTGCTTAGCGTTGCAGAGATATTTGGACACGAGGAGTCCTCCCCACGCAGGGCACCGTCTAAATCCCTTCTCTAACCATAAGATAAGGGCTGACAGTGACACATGGCATAAGCACCGTGGACATGGCTGCAGTAAGCAATACAGAGAAGCAGGGACAGGCAGCCATCGAGGACAATTTCGCTTTAAGCCCTCAGGGGGCTTCATTTTTCTTCCTTTACAGGAAGATGTTTATCAAAATAAATAAAATCCAGTATGTGAAAACGAAAAGGAATCTTGTGAAAACATTTCCAATAAATCACGTGTATTTCTGCCGTCGTAAATGTACGTGTAAACACTGATGACTGCTTTTATGAAGAAGTAAAATCCTTGACTGTATCTTTTAGAAGAATCTTGTAGTGCCACCTGCTGGCCAAATGACATAGATGTTCTCTGTGTTTCATGTTTGTATGTGGTGGTGAGAAGAGAGCCTCAATTAAAATTTGTACTATAATATGGTCCAAAAATAAAACTGGGTCTTCTGTCACAATAATGATGTGTTTCTTTTTTTAAATCCTCACCCTGCCCTCAACTTTTCTTTCCGACGTGGCTGTTTTAGTTTTATCATTCACACTTTCAACCTGCCCATGTCAAACTATGTAGATCCCATTTGTTTTGTTTAAGATGACAACATTTCCTTTTATATCTTCTAGAGTGAAAGGATTTCAACAATTTCTGATCATCTCTCAGAACATTACAAAGCTCATATCATAAGGGTAGGGGCTGTGGTGCAGCAGATAAAGCAGCAGTTAGGACACTGGGTGTTCCATCACAGGGTGCCAGGTTTGAGTCCTGCTTTCACTTCCTATCCTGTTTACTGATGATAAGCACACCAGAAGGCAGCAGCACTTGAGTTCTTGCCATTCATGTGGGACCCCTGGGTGCAGTTCCTCAGTTGCAACCATTTGTAAGAGTGAGTTAGTAGATAGAAGATTCTCTCTCTCTTTCTCCTCTCTCTCTCTCTCTGTCTCTCTCTGTATGTGTGTTTATCTTTCAAGGTTGATCTCACAATACTCTCACTTTTCATATTTTGTGGTGTGTGTATGTGTATTTGAAACAGTAAGAGAGAGAGTCTTCCATCTGCTGGTTAACTCTCCAGAGAGCTGCAATGACGTAGGTTATGCCAGACTGAATCCAGGAGCCGAGAACTTCATCCAGGACTCCCAAAAGGATGGTAGGGGCCCCAGGACTTGAGACATGTCCCATTGCTTTCCCCAGGATATCATAAGGCAGCTGGGTTGGCAGTGGAGCAGCTATGGCACGCATCGGCACGTATATGAGATTTCAAGGTTGCAGGCAGCAGCTTTCTTGCTACATTGTCTCAGAGAAGGGTGGGCGACCTCTGCTGCACCCAGTCACACTCCCTCTGTTCCCAGGGCTGCTCCTCTTGCAGTCACTGAGAGCAAATGCTCTGCACACTTCTCCATACCATCTTCATCTGTTTGGCCAGCTGAGACCTATCTGTTCTTCACCATAAGACATCTCAGTACCTTCCACCACTTCCAATAAGAGCTCAGGTATTGCTACATCAATGCACATGTGCACAGCTAACCACATAGTTTGCATAGTTGTATTTAACTCCTTTTCTTCTTCAATGCAACAGGTACAATACGCTGCTGAGTACCACTCAACACAGTCAAAGGCAAGATTGCTGGGCAGGCCCTGCTTGCCTCAGGCAGAACACCATGGTGAAGAGAGACTGAATAACAGGTGCCAAAATGCAATCAGAAAGAAAATGCAGCACCAGAGTGCGGGAACACTTCACAATATGTGGTCAAGGGTGCTCACTTTGGCAGCATGTACAATTGGAACAACATGTCATGAAAAACTGGGAAAGAAATGCTCATAGACGTGGTCAATGTCTAAAGTGATGGTTGCCCTGGTTTCATTCATAAACATTGTAGACATGCATGGGGTTATAGCATTCATTGTATCTTATGACAAAGCACAATTTTGTGTCACTGAAAAACACATTTTAGGGGCCCAAATTATGGGCAGTGAATTAATCTACACCTGAGATGCTAGCATTCTTTAGGAGCACCAGTTCAAGCCTTGGCTGCCCCACTTCTGATCCAGGTCCCTAAAAATACACCTTGGAAAGCAGCTGAAGGTGACCCAGATGTGTGGGCCTTGTGGAGCACATAAAACACCTGGATGGAGTCCCAAGCTCTTGGTTTCAGTATGTCCTGCTCTCAGCCATTTAACTCTGCCTTTCAAATAAAATCATTTTTCAAAATAAGATTTACGAATCAACCCTGAAGATTAAGCTGAACAAATCTACGTTTAGTAGTAGAAATCTCCATCCTGGTTATCTTGGATAGGATAACCGAGTAGGATTTAGTGGTTGACATGTTCAACCCCAATCCGAAAGTAGGGAATCACATTTCAAAACAGAGAATACTTGTTTTCAATGAATTCCTCATCGATGAGTTTGATGTAGAGTTGAAAATCTGTTCATGTTTTGAAATCTATGAATGATTCTTTAACAACACGTGCTTTCATAAAATTTTCCAAAGGCTTTCTATATTTAGCTTTCAAATAAGTTTGGAGAAAACTGGGTTTAATGATGGCGAAATTTTTTTTTTTTTCTCAAATTCGTGGTCTTCTCCATGCCTTCATGTGCTAATGTCATTGTGAAGGTCTAGGGAGGAAATTATGTCATCATGAATTCCTCCTCCAAATGATAGCCTTGAAAGTGGTATACCTCAATGATTTTCAGAGACTAGTGATCCACTGCACCCATGTTAGAAACAGGATGGTAGAAAATAGATCACAGCATGTTTTAGACACATCTCACCATCTCTAAGATCCAAAAGGACTTCCTAAAGATTGGACTAGAGTCAGGATGAAACTGTGAGCATGGTCAACAAGGGAGAGGTTGGGGGAGTTTTCGAGAACAGAGTGCTGTTGGGAAAGAAGAGAGACAGATCAGAATAACGTCTAAGACAAACATAACCCAAACGCACTGGCAATGTGGCAGGAGACAATTTGGGGTCAAACCACTTCTTGGCTATAGTCATTTTCTTTCTTTCAAGAATCAATTGTTTTTATATAAGATGGACATGTGGAGCTCCCTTCTTAGTGCAGTAGGCAGCACGTCAGTCTCACAGTCTGAGACGGGCGTGTGGTACAGCAGGGAAAACAAAGCTCAGCACGCCTGCATCCCATAGCAGAGTGAAAGGGTTGGGTTCTCAAGCGTGTGTTCAACTCTGCTTCACATTAACACTTATACTGCGAGGCAGCAGGTGACAGCTCAAGAAGTCATGCCTCGCCATCCATGTAGGAGACCTGGACCAGCTATTATAGGCAGTGGGAAGTGAGCCGGCAAGTGTCTTTGTGTTTCTGTTTCTCTTTGTTGCTCTCTGTACTTCTACCTTTTAAAAAATGTATATATTATAAAATACATTTTATAAATCACGCTGTAAATTATCTTTTATTATATGTAGGGGTCTTAATTTTATCAAGCATTTTTTTACATAACAAACTCATTTTGTTTTTACAATGTCTGCATAGTTGACAGGGATGTATGCCCATGTGGACATAGGCAAGAGTGGGCGAAACAACTGCCTCCAGACTCCTTTTGTCTTCCTGTATCTGGGGAAAGTGAGAAGAGAATGGGAGAGGGCCATTCCCAGCACCCAAGTGAATCAGTACCTGGGAATGGGGGACAGCCACACTGTGTCATCCCAGATTCCCCGATGAGGAGCAGGTTCCCAGGACACTGCTTAAGTGGTTTCAGTAGTTCTGAGATGCTGTTGATTTCATTGTTCCACGGTTGAGAAAATACTGCCAAAGTCCAATGACTGACACAGTCAACCTTAGAGTCTTGATTCACCCAGATACTTGCTGTCAAAGCTTGACTGAGAGAATATCCAATTTGTTCTGCCCACTGTACTAGACGTCCTCTGCAGGCTCCAGTGAGCTGGTTCTCCCTCCATGAATGTATAATCATGCCGTCCACTGCACGGTCTTCAGCAACTGAGGAAACCCAGTCCTGACACAGGCACTCCACAGTCAGACCACAGATCCTGCCATTCTCCCCATAGTTGGAGTTCTGAGTCCAGTTTGAAGTCCAGTGATCCAGTTGCGGGGGTGGGATGGGAAGCCCCAAAGAAATCTTGCCAGAGGTGACTCCAGACCCGACTCCTGTATATGCCAGCTACTTCAGGTTCTGGCTCAGTCCATCACCCGAATCAGTCTACATATACCCATCTCATATGTAAGCCTCAGCCCTATCTCATAGACAAATCAATGGATGCTGCAACCCAGACCATTCAGGCCTACCACACACTCTGCCTTTATGCACATCAGTAGGAACTGCAGCCTAGTCGGAGCGGCCTCCAATAACCCCACACACCTGCTCCCAGCTCCAGTTAATGTGCATGCTGGTGTGCATGGCATACTGTTCCAGTTTGTCCTGCATCCCATTCAGCTCTCATGGACATCAATGGGCACTGGAGCCTAGCTCAACTCAACTGACCCCACTGTCCAGCCCACACTCATGCTGGTGGGTGTTACCACTTATCCACCCAAGGCTCAGTCCCAGCCCTGGTTCTGGGAGCAATCCTGGTGGGGGATCTTAGGCAGGTGGAGCAGGGCTACAGGACCCATTAGCAAAAGTTTGAACTGGGGGGCTGCCCTAGCCAGATCAGGCCCACCCCAAACCTAGTTCTCATGCTCCCCAGTGGGAACTACAGCCCCTCAGAGGACTGTCTACAATTTCCCTAAGGCCCACTCCTAGCCCCAGATCATGCACTTTCCAGATGGTTCTATGGTTTAGCCTGACAAAATTTGCCCCAAGTCCAAGCACCTACTAGCCCACCTGATAGCCCACAATGCTGCGGCAAAGCCCACCCAGCTCACATTTACTCTGGCTCTTGCATACCTCAGTGGATTCAGTAGCTTAATCCAGCCTGACTCTTCCCCTAACCCAGCTCACATGCAAGCCAACAGGCTTTGTAGCCCTGCCTAGTCTAGTCTGTCCCGAGGTCCAGTTCTTACACTTAGCAGTGAGAACAGTGGCTCAGCAAGGGAGCCCCTGCAGTTCCCTTGCTATCCAGGTCTTACATGTGCTGGTGGAAGCTGCAACCCAGATTGGCACGGCTCACCTTCCCTCAGGACTCACCAGCAGGTGTTGTAGCCTGGCTCAGCCTAGTCAGCCCACAGTTCCAGCTTATTCTTGTGGGTGCTACAGCCCAGCCTAGCCCAGCCAGCCTCGAGTTCTAGTCCTAATGTGAATAGTTGGTGTTGTGGCCCAACCTGGCCTGTTATGAACCCTGTCCAGGTTCTCACAACTGCCAATGAGTGCTTTGAATTAGCCCAGCCTGGCCTGCCCCCAGGCCTGACCCACGCTTATGCTGGCGAGTACTATAACTTGGCTTGTTCTGGGCTGCCCCCAGCCTTGGTTCTTA